CTTTCGTCGTCTCCTCCTCCTCCTCCTCCTCCTCCTCCTCCTCCTCCTCCTCCTCCTCCTCCTCCTCCTCCTCCTCCTCCTCCTCCCTCCTCCTCCTCCTCCCTCCTCCTCCTCACACCCTCCTCCTCCTCATCATCCTTACTTCCCCCTCTCCTCCCCCCTCCTTCCCTCCTCCCCCCCTCCCTCCTCCCCCTCTCCCTTCTTCTCTACCATGAGCTCGATGATCCTTTCGCTGAACAACCCGAAGACAGCAGCCTGCATGGCAACAAGTCAGCCTCAGCTCGGGTATTGAATGCCTTGCTGCATGACCTGAATGATTCCGATGCAGAAGGCAAGAAGGAGCGCTGCGCTGACTCGGTTGGAGAGTTCCTGTGGGTTGTCAAACATTGTGAGATCAGCATCGTCGGACAGCTCGATCACGCCGAAGTGATGTTGGTTGTGAAACATGTCATTGCAACAGCATACGGGAGTTGTCGACATCAACAGAAGGCAGAGTTACCGATGATTCCTTGGACCCCGATGAGGCATCCCCGACTTGGTCTCGGCAGCCTATAGGACAAGGAAGAGATTCACAATACTTCCTCCTCCTCCTCTGAATCATCATCATCATCATCATCATCATCATCATCATCATCATCATCATCATCATCATCATCATCATCATCATCATCATCATCATCATCATCATCATCATCATCATCATCATCATCATCATCATCATCATCACAGTGATATTTCTTCTCATTATATGATTGCAAACCACGAGAGAAATCGACGTTCTTAGCAGGGGATCATTGTACAACTTGGAAACCTGCCCTGCAGTAAGGCCGTCAACTGTTCCTAGTGCTCCTCACCGAGTATTGTGCGCTGATTGCGATCCCTGCTGCTCCGAGTGCCACAGCGCCTAGTCCTACAAGATACAGTTGTCAATCATCATATCTCACTCCTCCCAGCCCTCAGAGCGTTTCATTTCTCCATGTACATCAGTATTAGAACACAGCTTGTAGGGCCCAGCGTTTGCAAAGAGGTCCATGGAGGATAGGCAATGGAGAGCACAAACAACCAAGGGAAAGGAACGATGAGTTTGTAACAAGGAGATGTCATCCAAGAAACATTGCAATACGACCATCGCTGCATGAGAGGCGGGATTGCGAATTGCGACCACTCACGTCCGAGGTACATCGTGTTGACGAGGCTGGCAAGAGGCTCCGACGCAAACTGAATGAAGGCCTGCGAGCATGTCAAACAAGCAGAGATGCGGCAGGCAGAAGAAGAAGGGGCGATCGGCACCGGGATGGCGATAGAGACAAACTCCTTGTCTATCTTGCTCTTGGTCTCCCGGTCGTCCAAGGGGCCAGGAGGGACCTCAGGCTGTTAGCGTGTCACTCCCCATGACCACAGCGCAGGCAGCGCGAGCAGACCTGAGGAGACGAAGAAGCATGGAGCCTTGTTCTAGGCAAGAGCATGCTGCCCGGCCGTCTCGCGCTTCCAGTGTGTGACTTGGAGCCATTGGATAACCTCCGCACAGGAGCATTGATCGCACAGAACGAGGATGAAGGGCTGTTGCATCCCGATCCTGCATGAAAGGAGCGACATGAAGGCGAAGGGACGACGAAGGCGAAGGAGGGAGCAGCTGCCGCCACCATGGCGAGGAGCAGCAACCCCATCCTTCTCCTGGCCTCCACCATTGAAGCTACTGCCCCAGGGACAACAAGTAGAACTAGGGGAAAGAGTAGGAGAGTGTTGCTGTCCTTCCTGGCATGTTCTCAGTGTCCGATCATGCCGCCGGGCCCCGGGTTGACCTTGAAGTCAGTTGACCAGTATCTCCAATATAAATTTTACTCGCCGTACTGATCTTTCACTTAACTTTGAGTAAAGATATCCTTCTTTTACTCATTAAAGTTAAGCTTTATCACCAGTACTGCGCATCCAAGTAGTCGGAGCGCGGGGGAATTGTCCTGCGCGCAGTTAAGTGAAGGTATCAGTTAAGTTTGGAGGACAGCAGTTTGCAGGATTAGGTTTGGTTCTCGCTTGTCCTCGTACTGATGTTTACCTGGTTTTTTTTCCTCGACTCTCCTGATTTTTAAAACTTAATTGTCTTTGAGTAAAGAATCTCCTGATTGTCCTCGTACTGCTTTTTAACTTAACTTTGAGTGAAAGATTTTTAACTTAACTTGCCTTCAGTAAAGACGGAGCGCCGCCGGACCTCGGTCCGACCCGGCCCGGGAGGCACGGCAACGGGGCAACTCCGACATGCGACCTGAATGCGTCATGCTCCGGGTCATGCAGCGGGTGATCTGGCGGGTTGAGCTTGCTAGCTGACATTCTCGGTGTAGTCAAGCTCACTGAAGGTCAATAGCTGTTACTCATATAAAAGCTGTGAGTTTGTTGGGTAAGGATGTGGGTGGGGTGTAGAAGCTCACAAACACACATATTCTTCTTCCAAATACCATGAGGCGCTGAGAAATAACAACGCTTCAGGACTGGTACAGCGCAATTCCTTCGAGCGTGGGGTAAATCAAGGGGTAGGGGTGATGATGCACCCTTGGAATAACTTCCAAGTTCTGGTAAATGAGGGGGTAACCATGAAAAAAGTAAACGCGATTGACTGGTAGGGTCCAATTCGGAACATACCGAGATATGCCCCACCCCCTTAAAATCATATTCTCACCTACCCCACCCTCCTTTATGGGGCAGTCGCTACAAAAGAACCCTCGCATGCCCTACCCCCGTAAACACAGCTCTTTAAAACACAATTGTTGTGTAAAATAAATACGTTTTAGTCATCATTTTTGACTACCCCTACCCTTCTAAGGAGACAACACGGGTGGTCCAGCAGCTCGCTTTCCCTCTACTTTTGACTACCCCTTCCATCCTGTTTTATCACCCACCCGATACCCTGTTTAACCCCATGAAGTACTACCCCCACTTTCCCCAAGGAATACCCTCTTGAAAGTGTAGTAAAGATCACTCACCCACCCCCATCGCCCCTACCCAACCTTTCCCCCAAGACTCGTTCCACCCAGTCCTCTCTTCTCCCCAAAATCACCCAGACAACCATAGAGTACCCCTCATTTACTATGGTATTTGCGATCTCGTTGAGGGGTACTCCTGTACCCAGACCTTTCTACCCCCCTCATCATTCACTCCACCCACCCACCCCCTGTTGAAACTGGCCCCGAAACCGGGTTGATCAGGAATGGCGGGTGACATGGAGGAGGAACGATGGAGAAAGAGTCGCCTACAAACAGCGTCATGGTTTCCTCCGCCGAACTCTTCTCTTTCTAGCTCGTACAACCCGATTCATCACTCGTCGTCTTCCCTGAGCTCGCTTCCAGACTCTTCGCAAACAGGATACGAAAGCTCATATCAACACGCACAGCAAAACCTAACCGGCACAGCCCCTGCTAGCAGCGAACAGTTTTCCTCTATCGATACTGCGCACTCGCACTTCTCCTTCTACCGTCCTTCTTCCTCGTCTTTTGATGCTGCTTGTAGCTCAGGTCCATGGGATGAATTCGAAAGCGCTAAAGCAGAACAAGCAGGTGTGCTTCAGTTTGATATGCCGTTAACGCACAACGCTTCCTCTTTTGGATTCCTGGATGAGATTCCACAGCGGCAAAGCAACAGTTTCAACTTCGCACCGAGTGAAGCAAACAATTCAACACTCAACACAAACTTTGGTTATACAGGAGCTAACAAGTCAATGGGGCCGAGTGCCAGCGCAGCAGAAGCCATCACGGACGAGGATAGGTGGTTTCTTGAACAGTCTGCAGCGTTGAAGAATCTCAACAGCAGTGCGGCAAAGCAGCTGGCAGAAGCATTCACTGTGAATGCAGCGCCGACTATGCCTGTCGATGCGTTTGTCGAAATGTCGTCTCCTAGCAATGCTTCCAGCTGCCCGTCACCGAAGCTTGAGATCATCGGAGACAGCCAAGGAGTTTACTTGCCATTTGATGAATCCTTGAATGTTGTTGCTACCAAGAAGCAAGCAAGGTCGAAGAGAGGGCAGTACACTTCGAACCCGTGTGCTGAATGCCGAATGAAGAAACGAAAGTGCACCAGCACAAGGCCTTGTGCGATGTGTATTGCATCTGGGAATGCAAGCAAGTGTGTCTCCTCGGACTCAGTGGGAAAGTCTTTTGTCGAAAGAATCATCTCAGGTTGTCGAGAAGTGAGGTTCGAGCACGACGACAGGATGATTTCAACATTGATGTCCTTAAAGAGCGCCGCGGAGCGGACGGGAGTGAACTTTGCCTTGTTAAGGATCATGTGGGAGCTTGGTCATGATCCCTCGGCGCTGATACAAGCGTTCAAGATGCTGCCAACGGACGTCAAGTCCGCTATAGATGAATCTGTCGATACCATGCAGTCTGTTGTGCGCATGAAGCTGTCAGCGATGAATTTGCACACAGACCTTAACGTTGTACGTGATCAGCAGAACCTCGGAAGGGTGAACCTGTTTCAGATGCGTTCCAAACAAGCAGGTAGCATCAAGGACGATGAATTTTGTGATGGAAGGTGGGGACATGGACGTTGGATAACCATGTTCGTAGATCCAGACACCCTGATGCGAACTGGTTTCAAGCTCGGGAATGAGATTTGTGAGCTTTTTGGATATCACCCGGAAGAATTTGTGGCCAGACAATGCAATAACGAGCTGAATCTGTTGATGAGCGAGTACGATCTACTGTGGGCCCTGCTCAACAACCTTCTGAACGTGCTTCATCCCACCGTCACGTGGTACTGGAGGATAGCCAAGCGGAACGCTACGTCGGAGCACGATGCTATCTTGTTCCTAAAGGTGACTGTGGAGAAGCACTTTGACTCTCTCAACAGACAAGTCGCCTTCACCGTCCTGTTTGACCCTGTCGATGAAGCTGAGTTCAGCAACTTCATGTCCAAGGTCCCTGGCATGGACGACCACTCGCAGTCTAGTATGGCTGATCACATGAAGGACGTGCAGTGTCGAGGGAAGATTGCCTACCTCCGCCGCTCGAGGACGAACGGATGCCAGAAGCTCTCTGCTCTTGCTTCAGGCTTACGAGAACGGGTCGCGCCGCTGGTTGGGATGCTGCATCCTTCGGACCCGAACAAGAATGTGCAGGAAGAGCTATCCCGCGTTCCCGAGGACACACCGAAGACTTTGAAATACTCTGCATGGAAGAGCTGAAGCGATGTTGAAATGTAGATTGTTTTGTAGAGATGATTTAAACTTCTTGGAATTCATAAATGAACGTGGTTATCAACATGTCTAAGGATGTCCGAGGGGAGGGGGGAGGTGGGCAGGGGGCCCGTCAGCCTCTCGAGTGCTGCCCATGGCGTCGAGACAACTCCTGTCGTCTACCCCTCAAGTGCCCATAGCGTTGCAAAGGTCAGAAGGAAGGTGATGGTAACCGACGTGACAGCCCGGGGATAGCTGGAAGACATGACCCAACAGCTTTCATTCCTGCATCCCTTCACCCTCCTGGTGAGCGCCTGCTTGAGCGAGTCGAGCTTGTTCCCCGGTGAGGTACAGACCGACTGCACGAAGTTGTCTATGGAGGAGCAGCAGAAGTTGCACCCAACACCATCTTCTATCATGCACTCACCGTTTGTCTTCGTCGTCGCATACTGAGTGTATACTCCCTTCTTGAGCAGGCTGCCGGCGTCCAACGTCTGCCTGGTAAGCTCTGCCACCAGCCCTCCCGCCGACTTGCCCAACTGGAGGAGCTTCACTCCGTTGACCACCTTCATCTCGATCACGATGCTTCCAGGAGAGTAAGACAGGATCTGGAAGAAGCTCTTGTCCACTCCGAGAGCCGTGGAGAGGTCTTGCAAGACCTGATTCTCAAAGGCGACTTTGTCAACGATGTTGCAGTAGTTATCATCGAGAATCATCGTGTAAGGCGCCTCCTCGATCGAGAACGATGCCTTGTTCGTCCAAGGACAAGTGCTCGAGGTGTACTTGGTTGGCGTGTCTAAGCAGGTCTGGTAGGAGTAGGAGAGCGGCTGGACTCCTGTCTGGTTGCCAGCGGCGAGGATGCCAACAACAGAGAGAGTGACGTCTTGTAGCTTGCAAGTGTTGGGATCCACATAGCACCAAGCCTCGCAGCACCATGTCCCAGGAGCAGACTGCCAGCCAAATCACCTCCCTCGGTCTGTCTCGACCAGCAACTCGCACCTCAGGCCACATCTGCACGCACGTCTTCTTCTCCCCGCACGCATGCGAGGCGCAGTCACCGTCTTCCCATGCCTGCGGGCATCTGGTCAGAGGAGCGAGGCTCTGTCTCTGCAAGTCTCCGCGTCACCGCGCAGTAGCTGCCGTAGTTGGTCTGGACCCCCAGGGAGAGGAGAGTCTGACTCGCCCACGTCTGCCCAGTGCAGGGGCACGAGGGAGACTTGGAGGTACAAGAGATCAGGATCTGCTTTCTCGACTTGCCCAGGATGTGGGTCCCAGTCGGGACAGCCAGGTCAGTGATGGACGCGTCGAAGTAGTCTGCTGATGTCAACGCGCCGCTCAGGGGAGGGAAAGTCCCCACCCCGAAGTTCCACGTCCCGCCCCTTGGACGAGCATGTCAGTGCCTATCGTTGGAGCTCATACCGGCCCATGCACCATGTAGTGTCGAAGTAGAGGTTCGCTCCCTCGGCATTCGCATAGTGCGGCTTCCTGATTGACTCCTTCAGTACATGCGTGCTCTGATCAGGACAGAGCACACTGCATCACCCGTTGTACGTGTCGGGGGTGCTGTAAACGCCGTTGCAGGTGCTGGTGGGATGCCCGGACACCTCGACATTTTTGCACAGGGCCACAGAGCCAGTTCCTACGACGTTGACGCGGCTCTTGTCCACGCCTGCAGCAGCAGCTACTTCCTCTACCAGCGCCGCCAAGTCCTGTTGCCTGATCTTGCTTTGATCGAGAACCGTGGAGATGGCAACCTGCGAGATCGATCCTCCGTCCCTGATGATATCAACAGCTCCGCTGGTCAACCGGTAGAGCGGGGTTGTGCTGAGCTTCGTGCATTCCTGGTCACAGGAGCATCCCTTGTCTGTCGCAAGCCCCTTGGCAACAGCCTCCAACCATGAGCACAGTGGTTCGCATGAGGCGAAGGAGTTGGAGGAGCCAGGACAAGCGGCTTCGTATCTGGGCGTGCATTGACCCCCGTATGCCGTGTAGTCCCCAACCTTTCCGGCAACAGATCCTTGCTTCATCCTCAAGACCCCCTTGTGCGTCGCGATTGCGATGTCCTTTTCTTGGGGCAGGGCCGGGTCGAAGCAACCTTTCCCTGTCACAGTGTAGGGGTGCGAGCAAGGAGGAAGCGCGGGCATGGTGAAGGAGTAGTCAAGGCACTTGAGAACTCCCTCCCCTCCCCCCATCAAACTCGCTGCCACCACCACCACTAGCACTCGTGCTGCCATGCTAACGAGTATGCTCGGGTTGAGTCAAGTTTTGTACCGCCCTACCAAGTTCTCAAAATTTGACTAGACCCGTCACGGTGCGCTGGACCGTTGAGTGAGTCACTCCGATGACGACCAGACTCGCGCGGCAGAGGGCGGCACCAGACCTGGCGTCAGTCCTCTGTCCAACAGCAACCGGCCTCGTCCCCTTGGCAAGATCATGGTTCTCCACCACGGGCCTCAGGTTGTTGAAGAGGTCCTTGATGGGCACCAAGAAGGTGGCGGCACACTTGCTCGGCGTCTCGTTAGCGGTGTAGGAGGCGGAGCAGGCCTGAGTGTTGAAGGACTGGTAGAAGTCTAGCACCGTCTGAGTGACGAGGAAGAAGTCTAGCACCGTCTGAGTGACGAGGAAGAAGTCTAGCACCGTCTGAGTGACGAGGAAGAAGTCTAACACCGTCTGAGTGACGAGGGCCTGGTTGGATATGCTGTAGACCGCAGGGTTGTAGAGGAAGCGCTGGTCGATGTAAACCCCCGCCGCATTGCAATTTGCCGCCTGAATGCCCTGGATGAAGTCCGCCACTCTGATGCAGAGGTTGTTCATCATGATGCCCTTGTTGGGGGCGTCGCTGGTGACGGCCTTGCAGGAAGGGAAGCGCTGGGCGGGGTCTAGCCAGTTCTGCTTCGAGATGGACCCGAAGCACTCGCGGTTGTACTCCCCGGTCTGCTCCCCGGTGGTCAGGTTGCGCTGTGTCTCCGTGCAATACACCCACTTGCGCAACCAGAACTCGTTGTCGTTGACCCCGTCGGGCATGGGAGGGATCACACTCCTTGCCGAGAGGGGGGAGTTGAAGAGCGAGGCGACGTCGCGGAGGTAGCCGGTCAGGAAGGTGTCGACCTTCCAGCTGTGCGTGTTCTTCTTGCCCGACAGGAGCCCACAGCTGGCGGAGTTGCCGCACACGGGGACAATAGCGGCGGTGAATGTCTGCGCCGAGGGCCTGTCCGTGAACTTCTCCATGGTGGGCGTCTTCTGGCACTGGGAGAATCTCCTCCGGAAGTTGCCGTCCATCTGCGGGTAGAAGACCAAGGAGGTGGGTCGTCGAGCGCATGGAAGGACCTCGTGGTGCTGACGGCGTAGACGCTGGAGGTCGTGACCGAGCACTCGAGATGGGAGTAGTTGTACCTGCGGCAGCTCCCACCCATGGGGACGATGGATGGGATCCCCAGGATCCGTGTGGCACTCCCCTCCCTCGTCCAGCCTGAGTGGTCTTGCCGGCATCCCGAGTGATGTCTACCGGCAAGTACCTTAGCTCGAACCGCGGCACTCCCGCGGTCCGTCCCATCACGGAGGATGCCCTTGGTCTGGGGCCAGTCCAGGGACCTCCTGCACTTGCCCGCGTTGGAGAAGCTTGTTTTCTCGTACCATGGGGTCTGAGAGGTCGGGCACCTCCTGCCCGAAGAGCTGCATCGGGTGAGACATGCCGTTGCCGGCGTCCCTCCCCATGTTGCTCGCCTCCGAGAACATCATGGCCGCCCTGGGGCCGTAGGGGGCCTTGGGGCGAAAGGTCTGAGACGATCCTCCCCAGTTGTGCATCTCCCTCACGGGGAAGGACCAGTCAGAGACGCCGTTGCCCGAGGGGGTGCCAGCTCCTGTGAGTTCAGGCTGAAGTCGCTGCGGGAGTCGATGTCGTAGGTCCTGAGCCAATCCATGCTCCTCCCGGCACAGGGGTCGACGCCGGCGAGGGAGGGGTCGGTGCTGGCCATTTTTGGGTAATCCAGTGGCATGCACTTGGGGAGGAGATTGTAGATGACGTTATCCCCCAGGATCCTGAGCTCCATGACGTAGAGCCCCCCGCCGATGTCCATCAGCCCCTGCTTCAGGAGGCCAAGATCGGGGGCGCGGGAGTGGAACTTCGCCCCGCAGTGTTCACGGAGGGGACGCCGTTCTTGCATGTGCCCATGATGACGGTGGTGAGCTCGTCGGGCACGGGCATGGTGTCGCACGCCTCGAAGAAATTGAACCCCCCTCCCAGCCATGGGTTCAGCGATTTCACAAAATCGTCCCGTGACCGTGAGGTAGCACACGGCGTCGGACTGGCTGGCCTCCTGGCACCTGCCGTCTCCCAGCACCCAGTCTATGTAACGGTCCCTCTCCGGCCTCTCGCTGTCCACCCAATGGGCGGTGTAGGGAGAGAGGACCTGATCCGCGGAGAGGCGGGTGAGGACCGACTCCCCGCTCTCTGCCACGAAAGCGGAGAGCCGCTCGTAGTGGGAGAGGCACTGCTTGAGCGTCTCTCTGTTGGAGTAAGGGAGGCAGTCCGTGATGGAGACGGGCTGGTTGATGCAGCTGCTCAGGGGTTGCTGCCTCATCGTGATGGCCTGGGACTTGTAGCTGTTCAGGTTGTAGAGAGTCAGGGTCTCGTAGCTGTACCGGTCTCCCGCGTTCATGAAGTTCTTGCTCACTACATCGGGGGAGATCCACAGCTGGTTGTACAAGTCGGGCGGGAGGTGGTGATCTGCTTTGCCAGCAGGTGGGGCACCAGCCGCAAGGCGTCCTTGTGCGTGTAACCCTGGGCCTTGCTGCTGGATGAGGTCAGCCCGATCGTGTTGCGGCCCGAGGCCGTGATGCCCAGCACCCCCTTATCGAGAGTGCGGTACCGGAAGTCCTGCTTGCCGATGTACTTGAATTCGCCCTCACGCAGTCGCTCTTGCACTGCCACATGTTGTTCCTGACCTCTATCAAGATGCTCTGGTTTGCCGACCTCAGGGGGCATTTCGCCAGCGCCTCGTCATAGTTGGAGGCGCAGAAGACCTCCGCCTTGTTGCTCAGCACCATGGCAATGGTATGCACGAGCACGCTCGCCATCTTCACGTTGCAAACCCCTCCGAGGCAGACGGTGACATCGCCGTGGGTGCCCACGCACTGGGTGGTGTTGGACCAGTTGCTCATTCCGGTCGGACGGGGCGCGTCTGCCCATATGGCCTCCTTGTTCAGGATGGAGAGGTCGGGCTTCTGCACGTATCTCGACTGGATGCTGCTTATGACCGACTCCACCGTGGGCACATCCCACCCCGTCTTGACCTGCAACTGGCTCTTTGCAATCCCGCTCACGTTGTAGCAGTCCACCCATGCCGGATACCAGGTCGTGGTTTGTTGTTTGTACAGGGGTCCGTAGAACCGGTCCGCTGATAGGATATGTTTACTGACTTTTCGTCTTTCTTAAAGTAGGTGTCCTAGGCAGTATCGTTTCTTAGTATCTCTAACGTCGGTTTCACTCTCGGGATGCTCTCCGCTCACCCTGGTGCCCGTGCGATAGAATGCGTAGACGTCGACCCCCTCGACAGTCTTTACCTTGTTCACTATGATGGAATTGCCCAGCAGTCCGTTCTCGTGACGTGCTGAACTCGAATCCAGGATTAACCCTGATCTTCAGGGCCATGTTGAGAAACATTCAGCCTGGTGCCGGGGACGCCTTGCACGTGAACGCGGCCCATCTCACTCGTCGCCACCTGCCATTGGAGACTAGGCTACTAGTCTGGATCGATGGGCCAGCCAGCCTCGTCAACGGCGCAAGATTTCGTGATAGGTTTGGATCTTTCGACAGCGCTAAGAAATCTACTGATCTTTCATTGACTGAAAATCGAAATGCAAACCGGAGCAAACAAGGAGGAAAAGGAGAAACCCTACAAATCCGCCTCAAGAAAAACACCAGGAAACGGAGGAGGCAGCAAAACCGCTACTCCAACCACGCAAGCGACGGCAAGAGATCACTTCTTACTGAGGCGGGTTGTTACAAGTCCTTGGAGCCTCTTGGTACAAATGTTTTGAGGGGGTTATGTTGTTAGAGAGGTATTCGAGATATGCTGACATCTGACGGCTACAACCCCACCCCCACCCACTACCTGGGGGCAAAGGTTTTTAGGGAGGTAGTGGGGTGGACTTTCGTTTCGAAACAGGGTGGTGCAGAGGGGCCGTAAACTGCTCGTGAATCTCTACTCGCGTCCAGATGCAAGTGAGGGGAAGTGGCGAGGAGGGAGGAAGCGAGGATGGGAGATAAACGCAGAAAAGAAATAGCGGACAAACAAGAAGGAAATCTGAGCACTAATGAGGAGTCACGTGTTGCGTGTCTCGAGTGAGAGTTGATACAAGTAAAACTGCTTGCAGGTGACAGGCATTGAGAATGAAGCTACTTTCTCGCACGATTGCGAAACTCTTCCTTTTAGGATTTTTGGTCTTGCTGCCATCAGTCCAAGCTCATGACCATGATGATCATGATCATGACCATGATGATCATGATCATGATGACCATGATCATGACGAGCTGTGGCACGGACACGTTGAGTTAGGTAAACAAACCTACACATTGAATCTGCAACGACCAGCAGCAGGAGAGGTATGCTGCTTCTAGACTCTTCATGTCCTCATGCCCATGTTTGACATATCTCTTCGTAGGACTACGTCGACACTTCTCTCAAGATTGCCATCGTCAATCCTGCGGACGTGAAAAAAGCGAACGTGACATCAGATGCGCTGAAGTCAGCGATCCACGCCAAGTTTGATACTGAATTGAAGAGGTTTGAGCAAGGATCTGTGGTTGGCATGGGGTCCACAGACACATCATCTACGTTGCTGACCTCGATCCCTGTTGACTTGTTCGTGTTGGTTCCTGACCGGGATGCTTCCAACACTGTGATCAAGTTGTCCGTACCCAACGCAACCACGTACGGGATTTTCGCAAACCATCCCTTGTCCGAGTGGGAGGGGGCTTTGAAGTTCATGATGGATAGCCGTTCAAATGAGGTCCTCCTTGAAGGGTCGACGACCTGTCAATCGTCCTTGTCTTCCTCTGCCGTGTGGGGACTGTCGATCTTGGGAGCGTTTATCGGAGCAGCCATGTCGCTTTCCGGTGTGCTGATTATCGTCCCTGTGCTCAAGATGGAGGAGCTGTGGATTCTCAAGTACCTCAACTGCCTGGCTGCTGGCGTGCTGCTCAGCTTTGTTCTCATCCATCTCATCCCCGAAGCTGGCCATCTGCATGGTGACGTGCACGAGGAGGCTGATGAAAACCTTGACTCGCCGTACTGCAGGCAGTTTAAGCTGGGAGGTCAGCACAACCGTGTTGGCTGGATTCTTTGCTGGTAAGCTTCACTTTGAGGTGCCGACCTTGCAATGATTGATCATCAAGGGCTTCTGGTCGAGCATGGTATACACCTCTACTTCACTGCCTTCGGGAAGGAGCCGGTGACCGCCGCTTGTTATTTGATCCACCACGGTCGTCCTGATCGAGTCCCCAGGCAAGGATTGAAGGTGGGACCGGGACATCGCCTAGGAAAGGAGAGCTGGTCTTTGTCGATCAAGAAGCTCAAGATCACATGGCGCTGAGCAGTCAGAAAGCGCTGGACGGTGACGCTGTGCAAGACAAGCCAGTCGCATGGGGAAGGATCGGAAACATCCTGCTCGGAGATTTCTTCCACAACTTCTTCGATGGGGTATCAACGGCGATTGCTTTCAAGTACTGCGGCTCTGGTTTGCCAGCTGCAGCCCTCACGTTGAGCACGCGGTAATGGATGTCGTCAGGACTAGGATGGGTTGTCGTTGGAGCAGCCGTCGCTCACGAGCTTCCGCAAGAGCTGGGCGACTTTGTAGTGCTGTACAACTCTGGCATGTCCGTCTTCCTTTGAAGTCACCTTGAGGGAGCAGTCTCACGTCATGCGCAGGTCCATCAAATGGGCTCTGATCAGCAACTTTCTCTCTTCGCTCTCGGCCTGTCTGGGGGTACCCTGCTGTGGTGCTGAGGCTTCTCGGGGGTCTGACGGCAGCACCAGAGCATCGTCATCCTTGCCGCCACGGAGAGTGCTCATGAGAATATCAACCAAGACATGGGTATATGTCTCGCGTTCGCAGCAGGGATCCTCCTCTACATCGCATCAGGTACAGCAACCTTGTTGTACGTCTTGTGCTTTGACATCTCTGACAATCTCCTTGCGACATTGAAGGCCTTGTACTGGACATGGTCAAAGTGGACGATGTGCGATCAGCTATGACATGCTGGCTGGTATGTGCTCGCATGAGCAAGACGACTAGTGTGCAACACGGACTGACACGCTGGGTGGGCCAGATGTTTATCGTCGGGGCGGTTGCGCTTGGGCTGACAGCCCTCAATCATATCCACTGCGAATGCTTCGGAGATCATTCGGGTCATGAGCATCACGGTCACGCTCACTGATGGAGGAGGGTGGCGGACGCGGAGCCTCATGACCATCTGCTTGGCTGTGCTCCCACAAGCCTCTTGCAACGGCCGAAGACGCTGATCAATCACGACTGTCTGTCTGCCTATGGAAGATCTGCAAGTGCAAGCTGGCATCCCCGGCTGTGAAGCAATAGTGAGTGCGTGTGTTTATGTGTGTGCGTGTGTGTAGAGTAAGCCTCCTAGTCTTTATTCTTGTAATACAAGAATCAGGAGCCATGACTTCCATCCAGCATCTTACGTTGAGAGCCTCTTGGTACAGATGTTTTAGTTATCAAAGGGGCTCTAGCACATTCGAAGGTGGCAGAGGGGGTTATATGTTTTAGAGGGAGAGGGCTCACGCGAAATTACTATTGTAACCTTCTACATGATTGTACTTACAATACGTTGGAACCAACTCGGTATGTATCTGGTCTCGGATCAATTTAAGGACTGCGCCCTACAAGACTGAGCCTGCCTCAGAACAAGCAGTACGCCGCAAAAAAAGAGAGATACTCGAGATATGCTGACATCTGACGGCTACAACCCCACCCCCACCCACTAGCTGGGGGCAAAGGTTTTTAGGGAGGTAGTGGGGTAGACTTTCGTTTCGAAACAGGGTGGTGCAGAGGGGCCGTAAACTGCTCGTGAATCTCTACTCGCGTCCAGATCCAAGTGAGGGGAAGTGGCGAGGAGGGAGGAAGCGAGGATGGGAGATAAACGCAGAAAAGAAATAGCGGACAAACAAGAAGGAAATCTGAGCACTAATGAGGAGTCACGTGTTGCGTGTCTCGAGTGAGAGTTGATACAAGTAAAACTGCTTGCAGGTGACAGGCATTGAGAATGAAGCTACTTTCTCGCACGATTGCGAAACTCTTCCTTTTAGGATTTTTGGTCTTGCTGCCATCAGTCCAAGCTCATGACCATGATGATCATGATCATGATGATCATGATCATGACGAGCTGTGGCACGGACACGTTGAGTTAGGTAAACAAACCTACACATTGAATCTGCAACGACCAGCAGCAGGAGAGGTATGCTGCTTCTAGACTCTTCATGTCCTCATGCCCATGTTTGACATATCTCTTCGTAGGACTACGTCGACACTTCTCTCAAGATTGCCATCGTCAATCCTGCGGACGTGAAAAAAGCGAACGTGACATCAGATGCGCTGAAGTCAGCGATCCACGCCAAGTTTGATACTGATTTGAAGAGGTTTGAGCAAGGATCTGTGGTTGGCATGGGGTCCACAGACACATCATCTACGTTGCTGACCTCGATCCCTGTTGACTTGTTCGTGTTGGTTCCTGACCGGGATGCTTCCAACACTGTGATCAAGTTATTAGTACCCAACGCAACCACGTACGGGATTTTCGCAAACCATCCCTTGTCCGAGTGGGAGGGGGCTTTGAAGTTCATGATGGATAGCCGTTCAAATGAGGTCCTCCTTGAAGGGTCGACGACCTGTCAATCGTCCTTGTCTTCCTCTGCCGTGTGGGGACTGTCGATCTTGGGAGCGTTTATCGGAGCAGCCATGTCGCTTTCCGGTGTGCTGATTATCGTCCCTGTGCTCAAGATGGAGGAGCTGTGGATTCTCAAGTACCTCAACTGCCTGGCTGCTGGCGTGCTGCTCAGCTTTGTTCTCATCCATCTCATCCCCGAAGCTGGCCATCTGCATGGTGACGTGCACGAGGAGGCTGATGAAAACCTTGACTCGCCGTACTGCAGGCAGCTTAAGCTGGGAGGTCAGCACAACCGTGTTGGCTGGATTCTTTGCTGGTAAGCTTCACTTTGAGGTGCCGACCTTGCAATGATTGATCATCAAGGGCTTCTGGTCGAGCATGGTATACACCTCTACTTCACTGCCTACGGGAAGGAGCCGGTGACCGCCGCTTGTTATTTGATCCACCACGGTCGTCCTGATCGAGTCCCCAGGCAAGGATTGAAGGTGGGACCGGGACATCGCCTAGGAAAGGAGAGCTGGTCTTTGTCGATCAAGAAGCTCAAGATCACATGGCGCTGAGCAGTCAGAAAGCGCTGGACGGTGACGCTGTGCAAGACAAGCCAGTCGCATGGGGAAGGATCGGAAACATCCTGCTCGGAGATTTCTTCCACAACTTCTTCGATGGGGTATCAACGGCGATTGCTTTCAAGTACTGCGGCTCTGGTTTGCCAGCTGCAGCCCTCACGTTGAGCACGCGATAATGGATGTCGTCAGGACTAGGATGGGTTGTAGTTGGAGCAGCCGTCGCTCACGAGCTTCCGCAAGAGCTGGGCGACTTTGTAGTGCTGTACAACTCTGGCATGTCCGTCTTCCTTTGAAGTCACCTTGAGGGAGCAGTCTCACGTCATGCGCAGGTCCATCAAATGGGCTCTGATCAGCAACTTTCTCTCTTCGCTCTCGGCCTGTCTGGGGGTACCCTGCTGTGGTGCTGAGGCTTCTCGGGGGTCTGACGGCAGCACCAGAGCATCGTCATCCTTGCCGCCACGGAGAGTGCTCATGAGAATATCAACCAAGACATGGGTATATGTCTCGCGTTCGCAGCAGGGATCCTCCTCTACATCGCATCAGGTACAGCAACCTTGTTGTACGTCTTGTGCTTTGACATCTCTGACAATCTCCTTGCGACATTGAAGGCCTTGTACTGGACATGGTCAAAGTGGACGATGTGCGATCAGCTATGACATGCTGGCTGGTATGTGCTCGCATGAGCAAGACGACTAGTGTGCAACACGGACTGACACGCTGGGTGGGCCAGATGTTTATCGTCGGGGCGGTTGCGCTTGGGCTGACAGCCCTCAATCATATCCACTGCGAATGCTTCGGAGATCATTCGGGTCATGAGCATCACGGTCACGCTCACTGATGGAGGAGGGTGGCGGACGCGGAGCCTCATGACCATCTGCTTGGCTGTGCTCCCACAAGCCTCTTGCAACGGCCGAAGACGCTGATCAATCACGACTGTCTGTCTGCCTATGGAAGATCTGCAAGTGCAAGCTGGCATCCCCGGCTGTGAAGCAATAGTGAGTGCGTGTGTTTATGTGTGTGCGTGTGTGTAGAGTAAGCCTCCTAGTCTTTATTCGTGTAATACAAGAATCAGGAGCCATGACTTCCATCCAGCATCTTACGTTGAGAGCCTCTTGGTACAGATGTTTTAGTTATCAAAGGGGCTCTAGCACATTCGAAGGTGGCAGAGGGGGTTATATGTTTTAGAGGGAGAGGGCTCACGCGAAATTACTATTGTAACCTTCTACATGATTGTACTTACAATACGTTGGAACCAATATCCACGAACAAAGGAATACAAAAAGACTCTACGATAAGATTCCAAGGACAGCCGAGTTTAAGGGCTCTTGGTCTTTGTGCGTCGAATTGACAACGAGTTTGAAGGCTCTTTAAGTTATACTGTACGCTGTTACTCATTTTTTTTGGAACGGTATTGGTAACTCCAAGTTGACGATCATGAGCATGCCAGATCTGCAAGAGGAGTTGAAACGAAGCCATGGTGATGTTCAGGTCGACAAGCTGAAGCATGGGAAGGTTACCTCCAAGGAAAAACTCGAGGACCTGTTCCTTCCTTTCTCAGGTGCCATGAGTCGTTTTCGTCCGAATCTTGGGGCTTGTTTCTTAAAACTGTTGGACTTGTTTCCGATTGACGAGACTGGATCGTTTGTTGGAGAATTTCATGAAATGTGGGAGTCGTCTCCAGAAGGTCTAGAAAAATTCTCTTCGCTGGAGTGGAAGATTCAGGTCACGGCGTTGTTTCTGCATGCTGGGTACATTTGGAAGAATGGGAAGAAATTCAAGGATGCTCTTGAGAAGTTTAAGAAGTTGCGAGGAAAATTCGAGGAGGCAATCGCAGCCAGCGAGGATGTGAATGATGGTGCTTCAGAGGATGGAGAGATGGGTAATCCACTCGATACATCTGTGGTTTTCTCTCCACACAAGTACCAAATATCACCGAGGTTGTTCAGATCCTCAGCTGATCGACAGGAGGTGGAAGTCTTATTTGAGGATATTGCTGAGGTACTTGTCAGCACGAACAGTTATTTTCGAGTTAAGCTAAAGGATGATTTCGACATAGAGTGGCAGATGTCAGGAGGAGGCAACTATCCTTTGGCATTCTTCAAAACTTTGGCACTGGTACGCTGGAATGTAAAGCAACGAAGTGGAGCTGAGCTTATCGAGCTTACTGAGGACGAAGGGAGAGATCAGCTCAGAGCGCTAGCGAAACAGCCACTTGAGTCTGAAGAAGCCTTCTGGAGGAACGTGGACAAAATCAAGCTACTGTTTAAGAATCTCAAGGATAGTATTCAAGGTGTTGTGGGGGCACACCAAAGGATGGGGCCGTTAGAGATCCAGATCGCTGAACTCTTGCATGCCAGGTGTAAAGAATCGACTTGTGAATCGTTGCAGTCATTGGCATTGAATAGAGAATTGCGAAATTGGAAGAAGAGTAATATGAGACCAGAAAAGATTTCTCTCGACGAAATATTCCACTGGGGGCGCATCTTAAAAACTAGAAGCAAGACGACTACGACCGTGACGCCCGCGATGGATGCGAAGGGAGACGTGTCAGTGGTGAATATCACTGTGGCAAGTGAACCGTTGGTACCGAATGAACCGCAGGCTGTCGGAGAAGTTGCAGTGGGCAAGAAGAGATCCTCGGGGTCAGGCGAAAATAGTGGTCAAGCGGATTCGGGAGAGAATTCTCACGTCGATCCCAAATGGTATGGTAATTACCCAGTTCGTGGGAGTATACCTCCATCATATCCCCAAGGTATCATGTTTCCCAGCCAAGACCCGTTTTTTCAAT